CGGTGAGCCAGATTCTAGCCTAGAGTCTCTAGGTAGCCCCGCGATGAGCTCAAGGGCGACACCCGACCATCAAAAGAGAGCTCTTGGCGACACTCGCTTACTACCTCGAGATCTACGTCCGTCAGCGACAAAATTACAATCGAAAGCTGGAGAGAGAAGGCTCTCGGTAAGTCGTCGAAATACTCGAGGCTGACACCCAGTAATACTAGGGAGAGCCCTTGGCACACTCGCTTCCTACTCCGAGGTCTACATCGCCCTGGCATGTCTGCAACTGATGAAAAATCTGGCGGTGAAAGTGCGCGCGCCCCGCTCATCGATTAGGTTTTTACTCGAATGAAAAATATGACACGAGTTCGACTCTCCCTCAAATAGCTTCTCTTTGGCAGCCAGTGTGACTTGCCTTGTCATTGTTACTTATCGACTGGCAAGACTAACGACCGAACTATTTGCGTGCTCTCCGTATGATGGGTGACGCTGCTCATCATTGAACAGCCGATAGATGCTTGAGACATCATGCCTCAATGATCATAACACATCAAAGATCACTGCGTGCATGTTTCATGCTGTACTAAAATACTGTCTGGAAAAAATGCACCATGTGTCAAGAAGCCAAGATGGAGCCTTTATCTCAAAAAGAAAAAGCAACGACGATTCTCGCTAGTAGCAAGTGCTACCACTTGGATTGGGGTCTGGAAGTTCCGGACCGAAGCCCTCGCAGGAGCCTCAGACAAGAATCACATAATATACGTATCACATATCGATAATATAATATTGTATAAAACGGACTTAGAGTACTGACCGATAATTGGGTGTAGTACTATCATAACTAATAGCAGCGCGCCGTTGCTAGTACAATCCCCTCACATCTTGGCTCGCCAGGGTATGTGGGCACATTTCCAGGTCTCAACATTCCCAGCGTCCTATATTCAATAACTATTATTTATTACCTATAACATTGAGTTACTCAGTTAGCTTTCTGAATCCCAAAAATGCTTTGCTTGGAGTGATATGAAAAGGGTCATACTGCTGGTAAATGTAAAATTTCTTTGCGCTTCGATTTTCCTCTCCGCAAAAGAGTGCAAACAGTAACCTCTGCACACGTATTTTCGGTCTCTAGATGGTGCGTACTGTAGATAGAGAGAGGAAACCTCGAATTGTTAGCGGAACTTCCGCTAACTGTAACTATTGTCAACGGTCACGGCTCACGGCATGAGCAGTATATCATCTGATCGATCGACTTGAAGCTTGCTGCCCGTACTAGCTATATCGTTGTTATGTGAATCTACTCCAGGCGATCGACTTCCTTATGATAAGGACCTTATCATCCTTTACTTTTACCACGGTGGTTCCCTGAAAATAGTGTGCCTTGTACTAGCTTAATGTGCAGCACTCGCCATAGGCATGCGTGCAGCTGTCGGTGAGCACAAAAGGCATCTCCTGGCAGTCCTTAGACTTTTTATGCTAATTAAGAGATGTTGCATACTGGTTCTGCTATCTGTCTGGCCATGGCTATCGCAAGCCTGTGCTTCTCTCTTGGAAGTAACCTTGTACCATGTAGCGCTTCGAGCACTACAGCCATTCACGTCCACAAGTGAGTATGGCACGCGTTGCGCGCTGCGTGAGCCACACAGCGAGATCCTGTTATCACGCAGCGTAACGACAGGATCACGCCTAGGGATTCCTACAGAAGCCATTGAGCTGTTGAGCGGGACAGCAAGGTATTGCTAGATAAACTGATCCATACCAACTGGCAGCTCAAAGGATAACGGTATCGTCATCATCACCCGGAGCTCAATGATGGAGAAATGTCCTACTCGGGGATCGAACCGGGGACCTATGTAAAATTCATTGATTGAGTCTGAAGTACCACAGAGAGACACCTGTAGTAGACGGCGCGATTATGCGCCTTTCATGCATAGCGTAGTGCATAGGTAAGAACGTGTCTCGCACTGTGCTCCTTAAGATAAGAGCAGGTTTCGTCTTTGTCTTGGGAACCTGTGTTCATCAGCAGTTCGGGGGTATCGCTCACAACTAGACCGATCCTTAACAACCTGGTACTGGAACCGAGAACATGCCCAAGAACGAGAGTACCGAGCATTCTAACTTGTGTCCGAAATTCCGAGGAGTGCCCGAATCTGATAGAGGGGATACTGGCAAGTCGTTTGAGATTTTTCTCCGCCGCTTCGAGACCTACCTCGAGATAAAAATAGTGATACCTCCTGTGAACCCCGACGATGCCGAGGCCCTACAACGCTATGAGCGCAAAAGAGTGGGCTTGCTTAAAGCCGCCCTCAATTTGAGGGCCTCAAAGATCAAGCAGCGGCACTGGTCTATAGTCTTCCTCAAGAAGCCCAAGTCTGCTATGAAAAAGTCACGAAAGCTCTACGAATGGCGTACGGTCTGGACCCTCTGGAAGCCTACAATCGCTTCAAGGGTCGTAAAATGTCGGTCAATGACAATGTGGACTCTCATATCGCCCTCCTCAGACACGACCTCGCCTGTTGTCTACCCACGGCTAGTCAGGAAGCCCTGTTGAAACTTCAACTCCTAAGTGGGCTCCCTTCCGGTTCCAATGCTAAAGTTCAAGCATTGGCTAAGGAGTCCGCCACCACTACCCTAAGCCAGCTTATGGAGACGGTACGAGACCAGCTCAGGGCGTCTAGGATTGACGAAGGAAGACCGTACGTGGGCGCAATGATGGCCAACTCCTCAACTAAGGGGAAAGGCAAAGGTCGCCGAGGAAAAGGCAAAGGTCGTGCAGTGCAGCAAGGAGGCTTTCGTGACTACACTACCATCACTTGCTTTGGTTGTGGTCAAAGAGGCCACATCCAACGCCTCTGTCCGCGGCGTCAGAGCAGGCCCGAACGAGAGATCACTCCACCGGGAAACGGGGAGGCGGTGTCTCCGCAGCAGTAGGCGGCGCCGGCACCGCGCAGTCAGTTGTCGACACGGCAATGCTGCCTACAATTTTGTGTACCATTAAGTCCCCGTTATTAGATCGGTCATTAGAGACCAAAGCTGTCGTCGATTTCTGTTGTGGTTATTCCCTGATTACTAATACTATTATTCAAAAATTAGGCCTGTCTCCAAGGGCCGAGCCGTCTGGTCTTATCACATTATCTCACAATGAACTACCGGCCAGAGGTCGGGTCAATCTTATTATCACTATTAAGTCGCAAATAGCTCGATCAGCCAACGTGGATGCTGTTGTTGTCGATAACATTCCTGGCAATGTTGAACTACTGATCGGTTATGATTATTTCCGTGAGACTCTGTCTCGCTTGACGCTTAATGTCGACAGCGAGGGAAGGCCTCAAACCCTACTCGGTGCTCTAGGATCATCGGCGACATCGTTCTCCACAAGTGTCACCTTCAGACTACCATCATGTGATGTCACTGAAGAGCGAATCGGGACGAGGATAGCATCCGTCGTCCTAGATGCTCCAGATTGTTGGGCACGCCGAGAACTAGTACTTCCCAATAACACGGGTGACGATGAGACCTATAAATGGGTTGTGGGATGGAAGTGGAAACAACAGCCGAGTGGGTCGGCTACTGAACCCCCCTATGTTACCGGTCCTCAAGAACTACCGCGTCTACTCGACTCGCTAACGGATAACGAGTACGATGACCTCGTAACAGAGCTGAAAGATTGGGAGAGCCGTGGCTGGTTGGTTCAAGTTGGCGAGGACGAGATACACAAGGTGCGTGCGGTTCTACCGGTGGTGCCGGTCCTAACTCCCCATCGCACCACCAAAGCCCGTCCGACATTAAACTTTCAAAAAATCAATTCGTTATCGGTTAAGGTAGCAGATCCGGCAGCGTCTAGTTGTCCTGACTCTCTAAGAGTCTGGAGGCGCTTCCAAAAAGGCCTAGTTATCGACATCTCAAGACAGGCTTGGTGGCCATCAAACTCCGAGCTGAGGCTAGCTCAAGGAGTCGATCCGTTGGCTGAGCTAGAGAAGAAAGACGGTCTGCCAGTCCTACCAGAGTGCCTGCACAAAGACGTGATTCTGAAACTCCACACGTCGTTAGTACATGCAGGCGAGAAAGCTGTCACAAAAGTTCTGAAGCGGGTATTTTATGTACCAAACTTGGCTTCCTCCGTTCACTCCGCTCTCCAAGGGTGTCAGGATGAGCGCTGTCTCCGCGAACGAGCCAAGAAGACTCCACTAAACACGGCTGCCCCCAGAAGATTGGCTACGTTCCCGTGGGAAATGGTGGCTGCAGATGTTACCTATTATCTTGGTCAACCTATATTGGTCACTGTTGATGAGTACAGCCGATATGCAACGGCTCAACCAATAAGGAGCGAGTCAGGGGAGAATATCTGGACGGCCTTATGCTCAATCTTCACAACATCTTTGCTGGGGTGGCCCGTGTATCTTCGGTGTGATCGTGGAACGGGTTTTCTTTCACTCCGTTCTCGACTTCGACGACGAGGGGTCACATTGGTCGCAACTAGTGGCCATAGACCAACTGCTAACGCATGCGTGGAGAGGCTGAACCGTACCCTTAAAACTAAACTTATGTATCTACCTTCGACGCTGCCGCTGGTGGACAAGCTACAACAGTGCCTAGAAGCCTACAACAGTACTCCACATAGCGCTACGGGAGAAGCCCCCACGGAGAGGTTCCTAGGGCGACAACTACGTACCGGAGCCGAACAACCCGTGGCCGTTCCTCCGCCAGAAGGGGAAGTTCCCTTCAACGTCGGTCAGCAAGTATGGGTATTGAAACCTCCACATGAACGACGTGCCGGTGAGCGCTTTAAGCCTTCCAAGTACCGCGTTGTCACTTCGTCTACTCATGCTTCTACTTTGGAAAGAGTTGCCGACCCATCGGTCCAACTCTTGAATGTTGCCAATGATCGGATCATCTCCGCCCACACCGAGGAATGTCCTGAGATCATTGATGAAGACAATGGTTCTGACCATTCTGGTGACCTTACTATATCGTCTCACTCTGTCAGCTCCGCGTCGGTGCGCAACGACCCGGTATCTGACGGAGTCCAACCAGATCCGAATCGGCAGGCGGAGCTCCGACCAGAAGGTGCACCAGAAGTACATGGTTCGACGAGAACGTTACGTCATCGCCATGTTCCCGTACGGTTTATTCCGGGTGGTAACCCGCGAGAGACTAGTTTCGACAGTGATGGATATCCTAAAGAGTAAATCATTATGTCATCTACGTAGATGTTAGTCCTTATTTGTCCTCATATTGGTAAATCATGATTCGTTTTCTAGTCGATAGTCCCTCCGCTCTACCTGTGATGAACAGCGGGGCGAGGTTGAAGTACCACAGAGAGACACCTGTAGTAGACGGCGCGATTATGCGCCTTTCATGCATAGCGTAGTGCATAGGTAAGAACGTGTCTCGCACTGTGCTCCTTAAGATAAGAGCAGGTTTCGTCTTTGTCTTGGGAACCTGTGTTCATCAGCAGTTCGGGGGTATCGCTCACAACTAGACCGATCCTTAACAGAGTCCATGGGCGTGGACTCAGTGAGCTCCGCCCTTCGTCACGAAGGCCTAGTTATTGATTATTAGCTTGGACTTTGACTGTAGCTCATTCATAAAATTAAGCTTGCTTGTAACACTTGCATTATTGACTGTCCACTAGCCGAACTTGTTCGGGAAAGATGTAAGGAGCGTATTTTTTTCTTAGGCAAATTCAAAAAATCTGTGTTTCTCGTTAACAAATAAGAGCTTCGAGCCGAAACTTCAACAGGATATAGTTATTATCATGATACATCACATGTTGAGCCGAAACGGTCATGTTCGGAACGGTTACTGATATATCATGGCGAGCGAAGTAATCACCCCCGCGAACCGTGCAGATTGGCGCGAACCGTACACCGCGTGAATTCGAACATTTCAAGATCAAGCTCTGGTCACAGAATTTCAGTTTCAACCGTACTTGTGAGGGCACCCATTAGCGTAGAGTTCTATGTGTACACGGATAATCAGCCAATTTCCACGGCTTGTTTGAATTTACCTTTTTCATTTGCAGCCCTATTCAGTAGGCAGGTCGCACCTGCGTAATAGCGTGAAAGGTTTGCGTGATTGCGTAAAAGGTTTGAGTGCGCTCTTTCAGGGGCCCCACTCCTGGCGCGCACTTGAGGCATCATGGCATATGTGGAAGCTTTGGGCAAAGCAGGTGCCCAACACCAAGGTGCTGCTAACCAACCCTTGGAAGAGTTTCACTTCCTCAGAATGGAGACGCTGTAGCCTGCACGCATTCACAGAGAGGCCTCCACGTATATGCAACGCATGTACGCATGTCACACGTACGCGTTATTCCCTGTGGTTGCATGCTCTAGCGCTGGTATGAAACATATTACGTATTGCTAATACGCTAATCGAGCGCCTTTTGCTCGGTAGCCATCTGACACGAGGTCCCAATGTATGTTTGGGATGCATCTCTCGAGCTAATAACGGGTCGCCTTGGTGCGAGGGAACGATACGGGTGTCAGCAATATTCTCGTTACTATCTGTCCAATTCTAAGCTAAGATAGATATCGCAATGTCGTAGATATTTGATCGGACCTTCTTGGGGTCCTCGAGTATGAAAACGAGATCGGGATGGGAGCTGATAGTGGATGAGCTATGAGTTAGTTTCAGTTAGCTGTCAGTCGGCTTCAATTATTCACATAGCGTATTTGCGTACGTCATGTATTCCATCATTCTCCTCATCGCTCTGTTCATTGTCTCGGGCAGCGGGTTCAATATCAGCGAATTGCCTGTGTAAGCTCCTGATCCATAAGACTGCATTGATTGAATTCGGAGTGATTCTTTGATTAGGTCTGATGACGAGAGCATCGACAAGGGGCAGACTATTGGTGAAAGAATCATCCGGGTTTCTGTAGTGACTGCTGTTTGCCCGTGTCAGATATGGACAGGCTAGTGGGGAACACAAATTTGTCATACTACGGTAGACCCACGGGCTGCATTTGGTCTAAAGAAGGAACACCCGAAAATTGTGATTGCCCGAACCAACAGAGCATGTTCATTCTTCAAGTAGGCTGCTCATGTGATTGCGCGCATGAAGCTCACCATGAAGCGCGATACCGATAAAGCTCGCTTCGGGATCTGCGCCAAAGAATGCACACAAAATTGGGAGTGTCCTCTGGCTCCTACGGACGCCAGAGTCGGTGTCGAGTGCGTTTTGGGTCGCTGCGTCCTCGACTGTTCACAGGACTTCGATGTAAGTTCAGCTCGCATTTCGTCGGATACGTCGCTTGTCTTCTTCAGCACTGCACTCAGGAGGCAGCTTCTCTCTGTGTTACGTACCGTATGGGAACAGCCACAGGCAGAATGTGCCAATGGCATCTTCCATGACCCTCTATCACGGGTTGTCCATCATTACTTAGTAAGTAATAATGGTAATGGTGAGTAATACTTACCATTCCATTACTCAGGATACGTTGTGAGCATTTTCTCAAACGCTGATAAAGCCTTATGATGATCATTGTATCTCATCAACCTAATCATTTAATTTCATGGTTAGGAATCAATATTCATGTGGACGGTTTGTGTTGGTCACATACTGAAACACTGTCAGACGGAGTGTCAGTGCTAGTTTAGCACTATTTGGATTTCGCATTGCGAATGACTCATGCATGAGGTTTGCTTTATTCATCGTGTGGCATAAGCTGAATGCCACCGTCTCCACGCCGAACCCGCGGCGCCGACGAGAGGCAGCGACTTGGATTGGCCCTCCCCCAACAGAGACAGGAGACAGCGAACAGGGATGGAAGCAGAGGCGTTGCCGAAATTCGGCCCGCTACTGCAAGGCATCAATGGTCCTTGGCTGATAAACAAGCCTTGTGTAAAGCCAAAGCCCATTGAGGAAATATAGGGGTGTTGTAAGGGTAGTAAAGGGGGTATTCTCAAGGTGGAATTTGCTAAAAGGGGTGGATTGGGAAGGAAAACGGGGGAGCAATTAGTATCGTACTTGTACAAATTGTCTCGATCACCGGAATATGCAGAAATGAAACGCAATGCATGTGAAATTATTGATAGCGAGAGGAGCGCATGTGCTGTGCAGAACACAACCCAGGAATCAGAGGAAAAAGTAGAGGCCTAGTTCTTCTAGGTACCAGAAGTAGAGAAGTAGCGGAATTGAGCTTAACGAAGAATGGTCGTCGAGAGAACTGGCAGAGTAGGCTCTCCTAAGTGCAGAGTCCGGGGCAGGATGAACCATAGGGTCCGAGGCGACAATGTGGAAGAAATGCTGAAATGATACTCAGCTTGCATGCTTGCACATTAACCCACAATGCGTGAGCCCTATGTTGGTCGAGGCTAACGGAAATATCTTGTGAAGTGAGCTATTAGTCTTCTTACTCTGTGTTTCTTTATTCCACAATCTTGTTGTCGGTGCTTCTAGCACAGTGCTAGTAGCACTACTGATGATACATGAGAAGCAGTATCTCTGCATACTCTGTTTGTGCGCACTTCCAGCAGCTATAATAGAATCGATTAGGTTGGAGCGCACACAGTTGTCTACATTATTGGTATTAGTCATTCTGATCTCGCTTGATGTAGTGTAACGGTACATCACGAGTATCAGTGCGTCTTTCACTCACTTCTGTGACACCCCCTCTTGCATCTACTAGTCAAAGAGCAACTCGAGCATATTCACGTACCCGTAGTCAGCCCCCCGTACTCACGCTGTTTCTTCCTCGAACCTTTCCGACATCACAGACGGTGAGATCCAGCATTAAGACCCAAAGGCCCTGACGTTCCGCGAACAGAGCCTGAGAGAAGACTCATCGCAAATTTCCGCGAAGAGCTGAGAGTGGTTAAAGATCTCTCTATATCAGAGGAATTGCCTGACACGGAAGATAAGACGAACCTGATCAAGGAAAGAGCCAGAGTGATAGAAGAGGCAATGTTAGAAGAATGTGGGGAAGAACCTACGGCGGAAATGATCAAGCACATAATATTGGCCGCCAATTTGCGTTCGTGACAACAGGGGCATCCCATTGTTTCAAAAAAACCGTGAGCCGAGCGAATCTTCCCCACCCCCGTGACTCCCGGGACTCCGTGACTCACCTGTTCGATGACCTTCGCTATAGCATTGTCGGCTTCTTCATCAGGAGTGAAACGGCCAATACCGAATCTAACATAGTGGAGAGGATGAACACAGCCATGGAGGGCAGAGCTCACCTAAGGCTAGTATGGGCCAAGTCATCACCGACGCCGATGGCTCGGAGGACGTAGCTGGGCTCTAGACTTGCACTAGTGCATGCTGAACCACTAGATGCGCGAAGATCCTTGTCGAGGGCCATCAACAGGGACTCCCCATCAACGGCAGATAAGGAAAGATTGACGTTACCGAAATACATATCAAGATAAACATGAACACAGCGGCGGCCGAGTAGCCCTCTGCGCACCTTTCAGACTCGCTTCCATTGAGGCTGATCTTAGGCAGATGGCCTCTAATACCATCCAAGAGCTTCCGAGTCAACCTCGACACATGCTCCTTATCTCTGTCCATCTCCACATAGAGAGCACCGACTCCCTTAGGACCATAGACCTTATGACCAAAGATACTCATCAGATCAATGTTCATGTCATTAACGTCCAATGGGATCTTGCCGACAGCTTGGGCGCAGTCCGTATGGAAGTAGACACCGTGCTTCCTGCGGATCTCGCCGATCTTCTTCAAGGGCTTCTAGACTCCAATCTCGTTGTTCACAGCCATCACACTAACTAGGACAGTCTCGCCAGGCCTGATAGCATCCTCAAGCTGTTGGAGGTCAATCAGACCTTCGTGGTTCACGTGACGTCAACATCGTCATTCTGCTCAGCCAAGGCACGTGCACTGGCCAACAGTGTTGGCCCAACACACACTTATGCTCAATCTGAGTGGTGATAACGCCCTTCTTGCCAGTCTTCGTCCTGAAGAACGAACGCTAGGCGAACGAAGACGCTACTGAGCGGACACTTATTACTTGGCGTAGTTGGTAACACCCTTCAAGGCGAGATTGTTAGACTCGGTAACGCCACTAGTAAATATGATCTCCTTGGAGTTGGCCCCTATCAAGTTGGCCACTTGTTCTCGAGCATGCTCACAGGCGTCATCAGCCTCCCAACCGTAGGCATGACTTCGGCTGTGAGGGTTGCCGTACCTGGTGGTGACGGAAAGGATGAACATGACGAGATCGACCAAGAGGAGGAGACTTACATGTTGGAGAAGTAAGGCAGCATGGCATCAAGTACTCGGGGATCCATAACAGTCGTAGCACCATTATCGAAACAGGCCTGAGCACATTCAAGGGCAACAATCAGATCTCATATACTCAAACATAACCTATTTTGTACCACTCGCGTTCAACCTCCGGATACTCCTCACAACTGAGCCCGAAAATTCTCTCTATTGCCCGGAAAGGTGGTTATCCAGGTTGTTATGCTCTCACTGGCATCCCCGGCTATACAGGGTACGTCCCTAGGAAGTGGCCCGAGAATGTCATTGGTGCCACCTTCCGGAGAGCCAACGAGCTAGCACTTTATAGGGACCTCCGGTAGGCCTCACATGCATGTAATGGCAACGACACTGAGTCGAATGACTTGCGATGGTCTCTCTTCCTACGCCTCCATCTTCATTTTCAGGGCGAGGGCAGAATCCAGGGGGATTGGGAGATCGATCAGGGGCCGATAGACCCGGGTAAGGTTCTATTGCTTCTGACCGCTGTGATGGTGCTCGTCACAGCTACGGCGGGCACATCCCGGGTAAGTACAGTGATAACGTTTTCGGCCAAGTATTTGGTGACGCCAATAGAGTGGCACAAGCTATCAAGCTTCAACAGGCTATCGATAGAGACGAGGCACATCAGAGGCAAATGGATTTGGATCTTTTCAGATCGTGAGAGCTTGGAAAGACTCTCAACACGAACGTTATTATCACATCAAGGGGGGTTGCCCGGGGACGCATGGATAGTTAATGTTACTCATGCTGTGTGAGGAGGATGTTGACCATGCTGTAGTCAGCCCTGGAGTACCAAATCCGGAGGGCTGTGTTGCTGGGAAGTTATCGCGGATACATTCCATCGGCGCATCCTTAATCGGTTGCAGGCTGCAACCGACGGGGATTATCTAGGGGCGCCCAGCGCACCTATGGTGCACATTTTAAGCCCGGGTCGCGGTTAAGTGCATGGCCCAGATGTATCAAGTAGCACCTCCGGCGCACACCTTGGCGGTGCACCGACCTAGTTGTCGGCATGCACGCATGTGCTCGTTGATCATCGTACAAAGAGCATCGCCGGTCGCACAAGGAATATTACCATCAAACATTCTTAGTTGAATAATAATTCGTTATCAGAATTATATGAAGGCTTTCCTCGAGAAAATGCAGGTTAGCAGCCAGGGCGTTAACTTTCACCGGTGATTTTTCATAGACTAGTCGCCCTATATCCAAACCATATCAGGCTGTGTAACACAGCCTGTGTTCCATCGTACTCTGTCTACCAAGTTGAACGGCTCCTGTCGAGAGATGTTTCAACCTTTCGACTCGCATAGCAGATGATCATCGGAGCAAGACCAGTGATATGCTTGTCAAGCCGATGAGGACCAGTCATCAAGGTCTGGAGCTCCCGGGGAAATGTCGGGGTTTATTCTCCACCAAGGGCGGTTAGGGCTTACGAGTCTTTTCTCGATGGAGTATGGGAGCACTGGGCCGCGAAGAAGAACAGAAGAGTTGACTCAACTCTTCTGCTCTTCTCCGTGGCTCAGTGTGACTCAACTCAGTTGAGTGATCCCGGTGCTTCATGGTCTCTGTGTTTTCGTCAACGATGTCCTTTTGGAAGTCTTCTTATAGACTGTCTCAGACAGTCTATGAGAGAGGCTTTTGTAGACAATCTCTCTGTATTGAAGACTCATTTTTCTCAGAAAGGTTGCCCTTCTCGGGTCGAGTTTCCGACCCATCGATTAGGAAGCCGAATCAATGGATCCGGAATCCGGCTGTTGGATTCTCAGTATCACAACGTGATGATCATGTTGAGTTGAATTCATCCAAGAAAGTTTCGGACCAAACAGTCAGATATTCACATCTCTGAAGGAAATAATGTTTCGGAAACATCGATGCAAAAAACAGGCTCAATTGGTGTGTCATTGACGCATCGTCAACGACGCATCAAGTGAGTGCGCCCTGAATTCCAAGGAGACCTTTGGGTGCGAACAGGGAAATCTCTGGATAAACCCCATTAGCTGCAACTTGCAGATAATGCGTAGTCATCTCCCTTCTCAGCCGGGCCAGCCGTATCCCTTCAAGTCCACTGTTGACTATAATAGAACCACTAGAGAGACTCTACCGGCAGTGCCAGCGCGAGAAGGGGTCAATCTCTATCAGAAGATAGCGTACGATCTACTCTACAATGCCTCCGCACAAGATCCCAAGTACCAGGACCGTTTCACCCGCACTAACTCCTTGGCTTCCGAAGTCAGGCTTCGTATGATCTCTCTTTTTGTTAAACGCTGGCGATCATCCCTAGCGGCAATAAGAATGCCATGGACTTCGCTGCCTGCATACGAGAGCAATTTTCGGAATGGGATAAGTACCCTGCGCGGGTGAAGGTAGATAGATATGCTGGTATACTCGGCTACGATGACAATGATACTACGTGGACCTTTCCAGAGTGTAAGGTCTTAAATGAGATGGAGTCTCGGCCGATAGTAACGACTAGTTTACGAGATCCGGATAGAGTGGTACGGTTAATCGACTACGGTAGCTACAGTAAAACTAGAGTCAGCCAGACGGACTATCAGGATCGCATGTGTGCTTACATTGATTTGGAGGATCTTGATGAGCCGATCATCAGAGGTAATGGTATGGTAAAAGGTAAATATTCCCGATACAACACCCTTTGGTGGGGTGAGAATGAGCAGATCCAACGAGGGGATCCTAATGACAACGGGCCCGATTACTATGCAGATATGGGCTTCGCTATTATACAGGCAGTCCTTGATGACTTCAAAACTGGTGGCAATGGTTACAGGCCATGTTATAAACAGGGAATTTCCCTATATTTAACATGTTCCAGATCGTTACCTGAGGGAATGACAGAAGAAACGGACAGAACGCGTGCGCCAGAAAAAGTGGGAAACAACAGGTTAAGTGGACAAAGAACAGTATCGGTCAAGTAGCCCAGCTATGGGAGACAACGCTACAACTTCGGAGCCAGATTCATCTGGCTCTTGTGTATATTGTCTCTAATACAATAAAAGGGTTTGGATGATATACGTGAGGTTCCGGGATCGATCCTGGGTGTCTTCGAGACACTGTCTCGGTGTAGGGGAACCAGAAACCCGAGCTGTTAGGCGGGTGGAGGCGGCAGAAGAAATCAGGAGCAAGAAGAAGAAAAAAGAGACGCGCGAAAGCGAAAAGTTCTGACATCGTGATGAAGAGTGTTGCCTTCGGCAATGCGATCCAGAAAGATACGGAAAATTCCAACCTAGGGAGGGAAACCGAGTCTGTTTCCGGTTATGCCGTGTGTGTGAGTTTCAAGTCCAGCGCCATTAACCGGCTTAGTCAGACCGTTACAGACCTTTAATCTTTACAGGTACTCACTAGGATTCCCTGGAATGCGGTCGCTTTACGCAGCTTTCCCTTAGCTTTTGAACGCCAGTTTTTCACAAAAATTGGCCATAAGTTATACATTGGTTCACACATTTCGTCATTCGCCCAAGAGTTTCGCTTCCGTCTACACAATTTGGACGAGAACTAGACCGATCAGGTCTCATGTACTGAGCAGAAAATGCTCATTAATTTCTCTGACCTCACAGTGCAAGCGATTCTCATCATAAGCCCCTGCACGACAGCCTGGCCTATACTCATATGCTCTCAGGAGAATAGAATGACCCGAGAGTAGTTGTAGGAATGCTCCATTGCTATGGTAGCATACGACCCTTCCGACACTCTCTGTCTTGAGCTTCTTACCGCTCTCTGCAAGTTCTCTGATTATATCGAAACCACACGAACTATACAATAGTCTCCCTCTCGCTCCAGGTATGATTTGATGACTTCTTGTCATCCCTAGAAGCTCCCCAGGAGAAGTTCCCAGAACTTTTCGACCTTAACGCGTGCCTTGACATGTCCCACTCAGAGCCTTACCAGGTACGGCAGGGGTACGCTCTTGTGTCTTACGCGTCATATGCCTCGATCAAATATTTAACGATGCCAACTACATGCGCATGAGTATGGACAGACCTCGTTAAAGGAAGTGGAGGGTCATCAATTGGAAGGGCCATTCTCTGCCTTTCCCTGTCAGAGCCTTGAGTAAATGCTGGTACTTCAATATCCTTACCCACAAAGAGATTGTTAGGACCCACCGAATCGGGTTCGGCGAACCCTTCCTAACACACTTTCGCCTGATAGGGTAAGGCGGAGGGTTTCCAGATTACGCTCACGCGACCACACTTATTCCATCGTGTTGGCTAAGCGAGCTCACATGTATGAAAACTTATGCCCACATCAATTCCAACCAACAATAACAGCAATAATTACTGCCGTGACAATCAGCTCACCTTAAGAGTTCCAACCCACCTGCACTGTGCAACGCGAATCCAGGAAAGACTTGTAAGTTATAAAAGTAAGTCTTCTTTTCCGGCAAAAAAAATAGGTTGTAGTTCTCAAACTTCGAACGATGTCATCAGCTAAGCACCTCGTCGTAGTATGAGAAGAGAATAAAAACAGCATAATCGGACCCCAGAATAATAATCAGAAATGAGTGAACTTATCCCAACAATCACCTGAACGGTCAGATGATCAGGGAGGTCGATTAGCATTAAGCTAGTACTCGTAACCCGTTCAGCAGAAGTGGATACCTTCTCAAAGATTAGCAGTAGTAATAGCATAAAAGAGAGAGCGGCTATCCGACACATTTAGATCGGCTCCGCCAATTGATCTGGGATCAAGCATAAGACCGTAGAGACCATGCTCCTTGACGTATTCGATTTTCTCAACAGCCCGGGGCTGGGAGAAGAAGTACAGTTGACGTCCGCCCGAAATGGGGACCGCGCCCTTCCCCTTTGGATCCCCGTGAAAGACGAGTATCGCGCTAGCGTAACTCGCATCGTTGCCCGGCGACGAATTGGCAGTTGTAGGTATCTAAGTCGAGAAGATAAGCCGAGCTACTATTGTGCGCCAACGTGGTAGGGCCACAACGACGGAGTTCTGTGGGCTATACCCATCGTGTTAAGCCATCAATGATGCCCATCATAAGATTCACTCACGCGAAGGAGCACTGTGTTGGGGTTAACGCCAGCCGCGGTCGCTTTTGCGATGATCTTGTCGACGAACTTGTTCGTGTTGAACTCTGGCACATCTTCCACGAGATAGGGCTGTAGTCTAATGAAATGGATGTCCGCGATTCCTATCGCTCCATCCGCAACTACCCTATCCCAGCCATGAAGCGGGAACCTGGCAAATAAGTTCAGGATGACTCGACGAATCCAGGCGTCAACTTCTTGCTACTACAACAACCCCCATGATTCACGCGACGAAATTACCCAAATCCGCAGCCAAAGTTGAGCTCCTTGATGGTCTCCAAGGCTTCCTTTACGGTATAGTTGCCTCTGTAGTCAGGATAGCTCAGTAAGAAGCCATGGACGGGGAAGTGCTTCGTGAAGTTGTTCATGCTCTTGACGAACAGGGCCTTGTCGAAAACGACGTCTTCGTACAGATCCAGGTCGGCGTATATTTTCCCTCCTTTAGCGTCTACTCGCTTCCTCAGTGCTGCGAATCCGGTTTCGCTCCAAGGCGGGAAGAAGGGGGGACCCCTCCTAATCTCGCTATCGACGATGTAGTTCCCACCAAGGACGAAGTTTTTCACGCCGGCATCCATCAGCTGATCGAAGTAATTTTCCCAGTCATAGTGGGTGTCCCTGCAATGCAACTGGAAACATCCCAGCTGGTCTTCGGGTAGAACCCACGGGAATTGAACACCTTTGTAGAACCATCTTAGCTCACCAGGTGAGGTCGTAGTTAGCTCGGCCATCGCACGGAGGGTACAGAGATACATGAGCAGTATCATCATAGTTCAGATTGAGACAAGGATACAAGGTAACGCCCAACATCCGCGGTGTCACAGATGTCACTTGACATCTTGAAGATCCTTAAAATCGATTCTTGCGCCATCAGTCGGTTGGCTGCGCAGGCGTGCCGACCTGTTGCACGTTTCCGTGGCATAGAGAGGCCGGGTCCCAGAAGGGTGAGCACAGGGCATCAAGAGCGTGCCCGCCTTCTGCCTTCCGAATAACCAGTGATATCTGTGAGGATTCACGTGCGAGCTAATAGCTACGCTCTGGTCGGCCGTCCTTAAGGCCCGCCCTTCCCTTGCTTGTGGATTCACGTGAGACTCCCACGTGAGTACGTGAGTTCGTCCGTAGTGGAACGCATGGTACTTCACGCACTGCGTGCACGATTAGGTCCAGGGAAGGTATTTCGACGAGTACTACGCCTAACAAAAGGCGATGAGTAAATCTTGCGGAAGATTTTGTTTCGACTTTTCGAAGTCTTGGAAAAGGTAATGCGTTGAAATGCACAGAGGCGTGTAAGCGCCTTATGCAAGATTTCATTTTCTGCTAGCGTAAGATCACGCGAGACCCGTGACGGTGACTCACTCTTTGTCCAAAGCGGCCAAATATCAAATTGTTCCAGACACCCAGCACAACCGTTCTGGACACCAACTCTGAGATTATCGCAGTGCGATAGCCACGGCGGCGACGTGGCTTGCTTCACATGTACGCACGCACATAGTTGAGTCTCGCAGCAGACTGCTTTGGGTCTTCCATCGACACTTTTGTGCGCCTTCTTTTGAGTCTGTAATGGGGGTCGATAGCAGTACTCAGGAGAGAGGGGCTCCAAGCTCCTCTCGTTTCAAAACCCAGGTTCTCATCCTCCCAAAGGCGGTTCAGAGAGCTTGTGATCTCAGATGGCCTCGGGTTTGCGAGAGCCCAATCCTGCTGAGGGTGTTTAAACCGGCGAATAAAATGTCCCGCCGATGGATAGAAGCTAAAATAGACCAATGTCTAGGGAAGGAGGGGTTCAGTCTAGTAAATCATCCAGGTAAACTCGACCTGAGAGATTTGAAACCATTACCGAACTTGACATAGACTCGTATGATACGAGGTTCCAAGATAATCCCGGATTCCATTCTGGTTTCCGATGCTTCTTAAGATTCATAGGGAGCTTGCCACCGATGAAACGAGTCATCAATTTCAACTCACTACGATCGGAGGGGATCCCTCCGAGGGATGTACCTCACCATAGAGAGAACATAGATACCCTTAACCTTCCGCGAAAAGGAATCACACAAGCACGTGCCTTCAAATCGCAAGTGTGCAAGATGTCACTGGTATTCCTCCTTCAGTGGTAGCCAAGTGCAGAATTGCTTGGTGAGAGAATCTACCAATGGCGGCCACCTATGAGGATTATTGTCAACCTCCCCAAGGGCAGCTCCCTCAAGCTTGTTCTCCTCGAGCTTGTTCTCCTTCACCACTAAAAAGTCAGTGGTGATGGTACACTCAAGGGTCTTCACCGGGACAAAGAGTTCCTTGGCATGACTACTCATATGTATTCCTCCACCAGCCTCAACTAACAAGCGGCCAGAG